TTTTGGTGGGAATGGAAAAATTCGAGTGGAAAAGTGAAAATTCCTACATTGGTTGATTTTTTTAGTTCTTAAATTTATTTTATTTTTATTTGAAGAAACAGTCTTGAGAATTGTTTAATGAAATGATATTACCGTGGAGTTTTGTGACATGTCCAAACAATGTTTCATACTTTAGTCCCAAAGGACAAAAAAAGTCCGGGGTGAAAACATTCGAATAATTCGTGAATTAACCAAGGTCTGTTGTTAGGTTTAGACGAAATAAATTTCTAAAAAACCTATTAAATGTCTGTGTAACTACTGGAAACTGGTCATTTTTCGGGGCATATTCTTTGCATATTTAAGAAATTAAGGGAGATAAAGAAAACCAAAGCTGGATTTAAAGTGCGTTTTAATTCCTCCAACTTTTTCTTCAGAACTTTGTTGTAAAGTAATTAGAAAAACTCAGTGTTCCCGATTATTTAAATTCGCAAAGTATCAAAATAAATTCTCCGATTTAAGACTTCAACTTTTTAGATGTTAAGAATGTCGACAAAAATATATAATATGTACTGTGTGGAGCAACAGTGAAAACTTGTTAAATAACCAATTTTAAAGTGTAAAATTTGTTAAGTATAATGAAATTGTTATTATTTAAAGCAATGGAGACAATTGTTGCACTTTTAAAAGTTTCATTTGCTTGTGTATGATTTTTAATTGTTGTACAACCTGAATAAATAAATTATTTTGTTAAATTATCTCTGTGGTCTGCGTTTTGTCCTCAAAAAAAAATGAAATAAAAAATGAAAGTCGTGATGTATGTAAAAACTCAAAATGTATATTTTTCGATTTTTTTTTGTTCTTTTAAGAATAGGAAAAAAATATCTGTCGATTTTAGAACTTTTAGAATAGAATATAATACTATACTAATTGTTATTTAATTTTTTGATGCTTTAAATTTGTACAGTGGTCAGTGTCAACGTTTTCGAAGCCTCCAGTTTTGTGATTTTGTTTTCCTGAAAAAATGTAAACTTTGTCCCATTCCTTTTTAAAAATCGTCTAAGAAATGAGCAATTTTTAAATATTTTCTTTAGTAGGTCTCATTCATTTTTCTAAGCATAATTTGTTCCTTATTGTGTCGTAGTTTTAATAAGTATTTAAAAAAAACTCTGTTTTCGTATTCTTGAGGTTCCACATCTTTGTATAGGTTACTAAAGTGTTGTCTTTGGGTCGTAGGTCTTCATTGAAAAAAAAGTAACGTTTTTAAAGAGCAAATTTTGTTTAAGCATAATAAAATTGTTATTATTTAAAGCAGTACTTACGAAATTTTCAGTAGAAACAATTTCTGCAGTTTTTAAGTTTTGTTTGCTTGTGTATGAATTTTAATTGTTGCAGAACCTAAATAAATAAATAAAGTACTTTAAATTATCTCTGTGTTGTCTGTGTTTTATCATCTCTGTCGTCAAAAAAATTTAATAAAAAAATGTGTCTTAATTATGAAGTGAGGGCTCAGTTTCAAATTGTTGTAAAATTTGAGGTTTGTGAGATTATAAACAATCTGGTCGCTGTTGAATTAAAATTTTAAATTATTTGCACATGGAAAGTCGGCTATGTAAAAAATTAAAGTGTATTTTTTCGAGTTTTTTGTTTTTTTAAGAATAGGAAAAAAATTATCTAGTGATTTTAGCACTTTTAGAATAGAATAGAATATAGTACTAATTGTTATATAATTTTTTGATGTTTTAATTTATTCAATGGTCAGTGTCAAAGTTTTCGAAGCCTCTAGTGTTATTAATTTTTTTTCCTGTAAAAATGTAAACTTTGTCAGTATTCTTTTTTAAAAATCGTCTAGGAAATAAGCAATTTCCAAGGTTTTTGGTGCTAAAAATGTTTTCTTCGCTAGTTTAATTTAATGAATATTTTTTAAGATGAAACAAATCTCATCAATTTTTCTAAGCATAATTTTACTTTAATGTGCATTTTTTGATTTTTTTTTAATTCTTAGTTTTAGTAAATATTAAAAAAACTCTCTGATTTCACTTTCATATCTTGTATAGGATACTAAAGTGCTGTCTATGTCATCTGCTGACAGTTTGAGGTCTTCATAAAAAAAAAATAACATTTTTAAAGAGAAAATTTTGTTTAAGCATAATAAAATTGTTATTATTTAAAGCAGAACTTTCGAAATTTTCAGTAGAAACAATTTCTGCAGTTTTAAAGTTTTATTTGCTTGTGTATGAATTTTAATTGTCGCAGAACCTAAATAAATAAATAAAGTACTTTAAATTATCTCTCTGTTGTCTGTGTTTTATTGTCTCTGTCGTCAAAAAAATTTAATAAAAAAATGTGTCTTAATTAGGAAGTGAGGGCTCAATTTCAAATTGTTGTGAAATTTGAAGTTTGTGAGATTATAAGCAATCTGGTCGCTGTTAAATTAAAATTTTAAATTATTTGCACATTGAAAGTTGGCTATGTAAAAAATTAAAATGTATTTTCTCGAGTTTTTTGTTTTTTTTTAAGAATAGGAAAAACATTATCTAGTGATTTTAGCACTTTTAGAATAGAATAGAATATAGTACTAATTGTTATATAATTTTTTGATGTTTTAATTTATTCAATGGTCAGTGTGAAAGTTTTCGAAGCCTCTAGTTTTATTAAATTTTTTTCCTGCAAAAATGTAAACTTTGTCAGTATTCTTTTTTAAAAATCGTCTAGAAAATAAGCAATTTCAAAGGTTTTTGGTGCTAAAAATGTTTTCTTCGCTAGTTTAATCTAATGAATATTTTTTAAGATGAAACAAATCTCATGAATTTTTCTAAGCATAATTTTACTTTAATGTGTAATTTTTGATTTTTTTTTTTTAATATCTTAGTTTCAGTAAATAGTAAAAAAAATCTCTGATTTCACTTTCATATCTTGTATAGGATACGAAAGTGCTGTCTATGTCATCTGCTGACAGTTTGAGGTCTTCATAAAAAAAATAACATTTTTAAAAAGCAAATTTTGTTTAAACATAATAAAATTGTTATTATTTAAAGCGAAACTTTCAAAATTTTCAATTGAAACAATTTCTACAGTTTTAAAGTTTTAATTGCTTGTGTATGAATTTTAATTGTTGCAAAATCTTAATAAATAAATTACTTTTTATCATTTGTGTCCCCAAAAAAAATAAATAAATAAAAAATGTGTCTTAATTATGAAATAAGGGCTCAATTACAAATTGTTGTCAGTATTGCTGGTTTATAAGCAATTTGGTCGATGTTAAATTTTAAAAATTTATGTATGTAATATCTATGTAAAAAAGTAAAAAATCAAAATGTATTGTTTTTGAGTTTTTTTTTTTTTTAGAACAAGAAAAATTATCTATTGATTTCAGCACTTTTAGAATAGAATGTAATACTGTATAATAATATAATTGTTATTTCATTTATTGATGCTTTATTTAGTGGTCAGTGTCGACGTTTTGAGCCTCCAGGTTTATTAATTTTTTTTAGTATCGAGATGTAAACTTTATCAGAATTTCTTTTTAAAAATCGCACAGGAAATGAAGCAATTTCTAATGTTGTTAGTGCTAAAAATGTTTTCTGTAGTAGTTCAATTTAAAGAAGTTTTATTTTTGAATATGAAACAAATCGTATGAATTTTTCCAAGCATAATTTTTTCCTTAATGTGCAGTATTTGAAACTTTTTCAAATTGCTTATTTAGTTTCAATAAATATTAAAAAAAGATCTCTGATTTCTCGTATTTTTGAGGCTTTACTGAACTGCTGTCTGTTTGTCATTGCTGACAATTTTAGGTCGTTGTTAAAAAAAAGTTTGGTATATTTCGACAAATTCCCTTATAGATTTCTTTAAACTGTATAAGACGCTATCAATAGATTCAAACCAAAAATTGGGATTATTTACTTGTTTTACCCTCAAAAATTGATGACATCATGTCAAAAAACCATCAAATAAATGTGCCAAAATTGTAAATTATGATTTATTTTATTTCAGGAATGACTCATCTATAATTCCCTGAAATTCTGGAAACACGCCAACGTTTTCATTAGTGATTCGTTGTATCTATTAAAATTAATTTAATTAGCCCCATCAAAAAAGCTGAAGACATCAATTTTATGGAATAAAATTTAAATAAAAATAGGAACTTGCGTGCAAGGGGCATTGTTGTGCTTTAGAGACGAGGGAAGTTACTTGGAATTTTAGTAAAATTCGATGATGCAGAAAAATTTGTATCTTGTAGGTATATTTTTCAAAATTGTTACATATACTTGTATTACATTAGATATTTTTTTAAATAAAATATTTGAAAAGGCAAAGTAATTAAATTGTTTTGTATTATAAAAAATGGTTACTCTTTTTTATTACCTGACACTGTATCAAAGGAAAATCAGAAATGTCAAATACTTCGAAAAATACGTGCATTTAGAATACTTTTCCTGGCAAAATAAGACCACTTTTCTAAACTTAATGATATTATATTACAAAAAGCGTTCTTTAATTATTCCGTACAACTTTAAAAAAATGGTTAATCTCTTGCTAAATGATTTTTTTATAAAATGTAGATATGATTGTCGAAAATTGTGATGGTTATTAAATTGCAAATCTCTGTACACACTATACCAAGTTTTTGCTAATATTCGTGTTCAAGTTATAAATTTGTTCCTGTAATTTTTTTAAATTGTGTTAGTTACAAAGTTATATTTTTGATTGAGGTAACAAATGACGCAGAAAGTCGCCGCAGCCATCATGTAAAATTGCCATGTTTGAATCGTTGGAAATAAAATTCTTGGTAAATGTCATCCTGGATGCATTTCTGGAAGACGTCGTCAGCGTCGTTGGCGTCGGCGTCGTTGCACAGTGGAGTAGTAAAAGCCTTGCAGCTTGTGGTGGTGGGGGGCTCAATCGACTGCCGATGGTGGGGATGGCGGTGTCGTTGCGTCTAGGGGGGGTGGGCGTGTCCGGCGCGCCTTCTCCGCACTGAGCAAGCGTCGCTATTCCGTACGAACTTAGTACGCATTTAGCACGTATTTAGAGTGATATGTTGTGTTACGTCATTTTTCCGAAAAGGACTTTTTGGTTTCGCTTTCAAAAGTGACCCTTTCGGCAACATTTGGATTTTCGTCTCTAATAACACATCCGGTAGTCTGTTTACGTCTGTTTTCGTTTTTCGTTCCTTTTTATGTATATATTGCTTTTGAGATGGTGATAATTGAGTACAGAAGCTATGTTGTAACGATTTCGTGATTTTCCATTTTCCTCTCGGATTGTGTTTTTTGTGTTGGAAAAGTTTCGTTGCTCAAAATTTTTGCGGTCCGAGTGTGATGTTTGTTAGTTTTTTTTATTTTGGATGTTGAGTTCCTTCGATCATTTCTGTGGACGTAAATAGTTGTTCGTTTCCGACAAAGACTGATTAGGCTTAAATAGTGAGTAGTGAGTGTGTGGTTCAGTGGTTTGTTGCCTTGTCCACTTTCGGATATCAGTGTGATTAGTACGTATTTCCAATATGGAAAAGTTCCAGGAACAGCAGGACCCTGACGATCATGATCAGGTATACGAGGCCGAGGAACCAGAAACAAGGTGAGGGCCCCAAAATTTCGCACCAAACCCGCCACAAACGAAACCGAAAGCGAGTCACAATTCCAACACGGTCTAACTAGATACGGCTTCCCGGCGTTGTTTTGTGTACTATGCTCTGACGTCACTTCCTCTAATTCCGGGTCCAGAAAGACACGACATAAATCATCCTTATATCGGCCATCCGCGCTATCTCGACGCTATAACGAAAATAGCCACGTTTATAATCGAACAAGAAGTCCACGAATTCCCCATTTTCGCGTTGCCCAAAAACGCTCACAATACGAGTTTGGTGCTTAATAATCTCCACTCCTCATCCATATGGAACCGACAGCGACCTTCGTGCGATGCGGCTTTTTCTTTTTGCCACATGGGTTAGTTAATGCAGGCGACGAAACGATCGCCAGAAACCCATAACTCCGGCCCATCTCGATCTAGATAAATGTGACCATCTATGGACAATCGCGGCCGTGAGTCATACGTGCCCGATTTTTTTTTGTTGTGTGCAGACCTTGGCTCGATAATTAAACCGAATGAATGAATACCAAATTGTTCAACAACTCGTGAGAAATTCCATGGACCCTTCTCTAGATCGTCGTTTTGTGATTATCATAATAATTTCAAAGCGGTTCGTGAAAGGAAAAAAGTGCGTTTTAATCAAGGGTCGTGCTCGGCAATAACACCTGCCTTTTAAATTTAAATGTAATCCAGGGACTTTTCGTTCATTCATTTAATGCGAAATTAGGAAAACGCTCAACGAGCGCGAGCGAGTCGTCGCGTTTTGGTTTTTCTACGGAGATGAATAATTGATGAAAATGCTGACAGCGGGAATACACGAAGTCGGGGTATAGGGTAATTTGCTGCCTTAGACCCCAACATAAAAAAAGAGAAAATTTATCGTACTTCTATTATTGTTGGTATAAATTTCTGAAATCAGATTAAATTTTTGTTCCTGAATTTGAAGAAAAAATTGAGAACAAATATGTTTATTTCGATTAAAGGTGCTAAATAAAACATTGCAATGAAAGTAAACGAGTTGTACACACCGATTTTAATAAGTCATGAGATTTAAAGAGCTGCGGTGTAATTAACATAAATAATATAAAAAGTGTGTACTTGATGCTCATACAATTACACAGTAAAAAATTTTTATTTCAATTTAATCAAGTCCGCCGTCAAATGGTTCCAATTTGAGTTTTTTCGTTCATTTTGTTGAGTTTAAAATTTAAGTCAAATTTTAACAACAGTTGCAAAAATTCTTTCTAGGTGATAATTTTTTTTCCCTTTTGTGTCACTGATAGTGAACTTTTTTCCGTTTAATTGATTTTTAGTGAGTTTTTACACAAGACTGAGTATCCCTGAGTTTTTCCATGTTTTTTGAACACTTGACGATTTTTGCAGAACATAATTTTGTAATTAAAAAAAATCATAATTTGGTGTTTCGACTACCAAGATATTTTTTCTTATATGTACCAAGCATTCTTTGTTAGCCTTAATGTGTACTTTTCCTAGAAAAAATGATCTATCTAATTTCAATGATTATCCTGAAAAATAATATTAAATTTTTGTTGAATAAGAGCGTTCTGACTCAAAATTTGGAGGCTAGTATTTCAAAACAAAGTCATTAACCAGTAATAAAGTAACTAAAATTTCGTAGCTTGGTTAGTTTAATTTTTGAGTCCGTTTTTTCGTTTTATAGACTTACGGGTACTTCGGACTTCTAAAATAATGTGTAGTAAATCTTGTGAAATTTTATGTACAGTGCTGTAATTTCAATGTTTTTTCGATCGTCTCAATTTTTGCTAGTAATTATTGTGGTGAAGTAAAATAAATCAAAAAACTTAGAATAGTCGTTAATTTTATTTTTAAAAGTACGCAAATTATATCAAAAACTGTTAAAATTGTCTGTTTCTTGAGTGGTTTTCGAACGAAACGAATGCCTAAAATTATATTTCGGGTGATTTTTCAAATTTTTTTAAAAAATCGCACGGTATAAAGCTTTGTTTAAAAGAAGGATACACATAAAAATTGAAAAGATACCTTTCGTTGGTCATTATTTTCCATATATTTTTTTATTTTGCATTTATTTTATTTGGATTGATATCTGTTTCGTAATTGTAAACATTTTTCACTTTCCGAATGATAAAAAGAGTCGGTTTTTCTTTACCGTTAGTAAATCGTGTCTTTCATTGGAGAGATTACCTCCGAAACGACCGAATAGATAGGTATAGTCGAGCAAATTTAAAAGGGAAACCCAATTTTTAAAACCGCCATCGCATTACCGAAAAGTATTAACTTCTTTCTTCGACTTATCTTCATCTTATTGCGTTGGTGTGCAGTCGTTAAGCTTTTATGATAATCCGATGGCGGCTTTAAAAGTTGTGTCTGCCACTTTAAATTTCCCCGACTATACTACTATAAAATTTTAATATCTAAATATCAAAAAACTATATTGTCGTGATAGCGTTTTGAGAATTTTTTTCGCAAAAAATTAAATTTTAGAAACATCAACCAAGTCAAAATGTGTAATTTTTCTATACCAGAAAATCTAATTTTATCAAGAATTTCGGAAAACATTTGCCTTCAATTGTGGTCAGTGTCAACGTTTTTGAAGTCTCCAGTTTTATGAAATTTTTTTCCTTTGTCACATTCCTTTTTAAAAATCCTCTAGTAAATAAGTAATTTCTAATGTTTTTGGTACTAAAAATGTTTTCTTTGGTGGTTCAATTTAACGAAGTTTTATTTTTAAGTATAAAATAATTCTCATAAATTTTTATAAGCATAATTTTTTCCTTAATGTGCAGTGTTTGAAATCTTTTTAATTCCTTAGTTAGTTTAAATAAGTATTAAAAAAAAAAAATAAGTGCTGTCTTTAGGTCTTAGCTCTTCATCGAAAAAAAAAAGTATTATTTTTAAAGAGCAAATTTTATTTTAGCATAAAAAAAATGTTATTTCAAGCAGAACTTTCTAAATTTTCAATTGAGAAAAAAAATTAAATTTTAGAAACATTAACCAAGTCAAAATGTGTAATTTTTCTATACCAGAAAATCTAATTTTATCAAGAATTTCGGAAAAGATTTGCCTTCATTTCAACGTTTCGACGGTAAAATATCAATATTAAGATTTCCATAAATTCCCGATTACCGACATTGAATTAGAACGACCACCAAAGCACTGATTTGACACGCAAATGTAGAAACGCTTAATACAAAATTTTTTTAGAGAAATTTCGGATATTTTCCGGTTTAATACTAATGCAATAGTGCAATTTTTCATCCGGTTATGGGTCCATTATGGACAGAATGCATATTAAACGGCATCAGTTTTTACATTTATTTTCAGAATATACAAAAAAACATTTTATTGGCTAGAAATGTATCGGTCAGAAATAATAATAATACTAATAATAAAATCGTGTCGATGGTTAAATTTCTCTGTCCATCCCCACCGTTTTGATGATGTCATTTAAAAAATATTCTGAGTAAATCCACTTCATATGTATGTTGTGGCACTCCCTTATCAGTTTGGTTTAATAATATTATCTATCGATATTAAAAATCTTGCGCATAGAAATTATCGTAAAAAAATGCAGTATGAAATTTGACTTGGAACCAACGTGATTTTTTTTTATTATTATAGTTGCAATGTTCTGTGGTGGATTTTGCTCTGTAAATACCATAATATCCACTTTTTTGTTATTAAAATATTTATGCTTGCGAAAAATTAGGAAGTGTACAAATTTTACTGAAGAATATGCTTTAATCTGTACCTAGAGTTCATTGTGCTTCATGGGCAAGGGAAGTTCAATTAATGTAGACAGTGGAAAAGTTTGATATTTTTCACAAACTCATGTAACCAAATAATGTAGAATTTTGTAATTTAATTAAAACCGGTTTTTGATGAAAATTAATGGATTTTACGTGTACAATGTGACACTAATCGTAACGTTTTTGTGGTCCCATAGTTTCAGAATAATTAGTTGAACTGTTTCTAAGACAAATAAATCGCAAATTAATTGTGTAACAATGTAAAAGATAAAACAGGTTCCTGAAGAAAAATTTCGAGTAGTGTCAGAGTTGAACATTAAAATCGATTTAGTAAAACTTATTTTTGAGGATAAGTTGTATACATGGAGTTAACATAAAGGACTACGATTTTGGACTTTTGAAGTAGTGCGTAAACATGTTTTGATTTTGGTTAACTTGAACCATCTTCACGACAAATATTGAACGGAGAACTATAATTTAGAATTTTTACAAAGTTCGAAATTTAATTTTAATAATTATGACTTTGATCTAGACTTTTTCGAGTACAAGTAATGACACAGTGGTAGTCAAAATTTCCCCATTACCGTTTATTGGGTACTATTTTTAGTCCACAAGAAAAGCCGCATTTTTTTGTGTAAATACCAAACGTCACCCACTTCCTGTTTGACTCTCGTCCAATCCGATAAATCAATACCACCGGAAGCTCTTTCATTCCTCAAAACTTGCATCGATCCACCGATAAACACCCCGGATTAGCGGTGCATCCAAAACCAACCCAGAGTGCTCCCGGTACATCCTGCATCCACTACGCTTTCGTCAATTAAAACCTCAAACCATTTACGCTACGAGCAAGAATCAACCGCATTCCACGGGCCATGGTTTGGACGACATGCGTATCGCACCCATCGTATCCCGTCGCCTCCTCACCCCCGCCCCCCTCTCTCCCCCCCTCTACTCTACGCACTGTCGGACACGTGTACAGCACGTAGATCGAGCAAGAGGTTATACTATGTTTATTGACCGATTTCACGTTTTATGATTGATTGAATTCGGAAATGAGGTGTGGGCCGATGTCTTTGTTCAAATTCGTTCATGGTTATTTTTTGGTCGCGGCATTTGGGGCATGAGCTGATTGGGGATGGCGCAGTGGCGTAGTCGGGGTTTAATTGCCGCGGGGGCGAGAAGAGAACCGAAATTCGTTTTTTTAATGTTGTTAATTTTCGTTGATTGTGCTCC